GATAGAGGCTAGGACCTTGAGTAGCTTTAAGAAGAGATTGGGCAAATATATGAGTGGGAGGGGCTGGGTTTGATTAGTGTCATTGGGTACGGGAGATAATTCTTGGGTAGCTTTGGGCAGAGGCCGTTTTGATAAAGACCTGCCTTGTATGGGCCAGTAGGTCTTCTGCAGTGTTCCTACATTCTTATGTTCTTATCCCCCCCGGAGTAGCCCAATGACCCACCCAGTCTGGTCACCTCCACTCAAGGAAGGAGCACGGCACCAGACCCAGCAGCACAAGCTAGTCAGCTCCAACTCACACCCACCCATACCCACTCATGTATTTATCTAACGTATTTTTAAAACTACACAACGTTTTAGCCTGAATAACTGTACTCGGGAGTTTGTTCCACTCATCCACAACTCTATTACCAAACCAGTGCTTTCCTATATCCTACCTGAATCTGAATTTTTCCAGCTTGAAACCATTTCTGCGAGTCCTGTCTTGGCGGGAAATTTTCAGCACGCTATGTAAATCCCCTTTATTTATTCCTGTTTTCTATTTATACACCTCGATCATATCCCCCCTAATTCTACGCCTTTCGAGAGAGTGCAGATTCAGGGCCCTCAGTCTATCCTCATAGGGAAGATTCCTGATACATGGGATCATCTGTCATCCTCCTCTGTACGTTTTCCAGAGCATTTATATCCATTCTGTAATACGGTGACCAGAACTGAGCAGCATAGTCTAAATGAGGTTTAACCAAGGATATATAGAGTTGAAGAACAACCTGAGGACTTCTATTATTTATACTTCTAGATATGAAGCCAATGATTCTGTTAGCTTTATTGCGAACACTAATGCCTGTTGTCTTGGTTTCAGGTTGCTGCTAACCAGAACTCCTAAATCCTTTTTGCAATCAGTAGTATTAAGATCTACATTATTTAGTTTATATGTGGCATGGTTATTTAATTAACTGTCCAACATTTAGAACTTTGCATTTGTCTATATTAAACTGCATCTGCCATTTCTCCGACTATTGCATCAGTCTATTCAAATCATACTGAAGTGCTCTATGGTCCTCATTAGAGTGAATTGAACAGCCTATTTTGGTGTCATCAGCAAATTTGCTTATGACGCTTTTTATTCCCTCATCTATGTCATTTATATAAATTGTGAACAACAACGGGCCCAACACTGACCCCTGCGGAACACCGCTTGTGACGTGCCCCCATTCTGATTTCTCCCCATTTATGCAAACTCTCTGCTGCCTATTTGTCAGCCATGCCTCTACCCAGGAAAAAAAATTCTCCTCCTATTCCGTGTGCCTTAAGTTTCCTCAATAGCCTCTGGTGTGGAACTCTATCGAAAGCCTTACTGAAGCCCATATACACAATATCATATTCATTACCATGATCTACCTCCTCAAACACTTTAGTGAAAAAAGTTAGTAAATTTGTAAGACAGGAACGCCCCTTTGTAAAACCGTGTTGAGATTCATTAATCAATCTGTGCCTGTCAAGATGGCTACGAATTGCTTCGGCAATTATTGATTCCATAATTTTTCCCACTATGAAGGTAAGGCTTATTGGTCTATAGTTCGAAGCCAAGGATCTGTCACCTGCCTTGTAAATAGGTATTACATTTGCCATTTTCCACTCATCAGGCACTATGCCAGTTTGTTGTGATATGTTAAAAAGATTAGCCAAAGGTTTGCTAAGTTCTTTACATTCCTTTAACGCCCTTGCAAACAGTTCATCAGGACCTGGGGATTTGTTAGGTTTTAGTTTCTCTGTTTGTCTGAGGACCATGTTACTAGTTACCGCAATCGTACATAGTTTATTATCATCCTGTTCTATATAATCTATTATTTCAGGAGTTTCGCTAGTATTTTCCTGGGTGAAAACTGAGGAAGTAGGTATTGAGAATTTCACACATATCCTTATCACTGTCAGTGATCTGACCAGAGTTACTCTTAAGTGGACCAATCTTGTCCCTTATCTTACTTCTGTATACCTGAAAGAACCCTTTTGGATTAGTCTTTGAATCCCTTGCGACCTTAGCCTCATAATCCCTTTTTGCTTTTCTTATACCTATTTTTTATTTCTCTTTAACTGAATATATTGATTTCTTAACTGCCCATTCCCTCTTTTGATACGCCTATATATGCCTCTCTTTTGACCAATGAGATGTTTTAATCTATTGTTCATCCATTTGGGATCATTTTTGTTAGATCTAATTTCCCTACTCGGAACAAAAGTTGTTTGGGCAGCTAGAACTATGCTCTGAAAAAGTCATATTGACAACCAAGATCACCTACCTAACCCATAGTCAGGACATCCTAATTTAGCCCACCCAGGTAATTTTTCATTTCCATGAAATCGGCCAAGCGGAAGTCTGGGACAGAGATTTGATTGCAGTTATCTGGGTAATTCCATGATATATTGAAACTAAGTGATTTGTGATCACTTTCCCCAAGCTCATCATTAACCTCAAGATTATACATTATCATTACATAATTCGTGCAAGTCGTTCATATATATTTTTTAAACCATTTATCACACACATATTCTCAAAATGCTGTGAGTTTTAGTTGCAACGTGTTTATATTGTTCAGAAATGGCAGTATGTAAATGGCTTGTTGGTATAAACCTTGGTAATAAATACCGACAAGTTGGTTTAGAAAGACACGTAAGCAAACACTATAAAATATTTATTAGAAAACGTTTCGGTCCTGTGACCTTGATCACTTCTAACATACAGATATATATATGTATATAATGTTCGCCAAGACCGTAGTCCTGGCACGGGTCTCAATCTTGCGATGACCCGTCTCTGGCTCCCGAGGGAGAAAGGTTTCTACAATGATGCGACATATGCTGTTCAAGCACTCTTCTGGTCAGTTCAACTGGTGCATCTCATAAGCGACAACACCGTATGTACTCCTAACTATGGACACTAGCGAGGAGGAGGATATGTCGTTATCACAGGTAACAGCTTGTCTGGTTCGTTGACTCCATGGTACACTAGTGTGGCCGCAGTCATCTCTGGTTCCTTCCTTCCACCCCAGGTAGATCTGTTTGTGACTTGAAAAAGCCCACTGTGTGGGCGAAACGTAGTCAATAAAGGATCACATTATACTCCATATGTGTTTATATTTCCATCTCTGGTTCCTCTTCGGGAGGGAATATCACTCCTAGTTGCCTGCGGAGTGTCTCAGTAACTTCGCACTCCAGAAGATAGTGTGTTAGGGGCCGCTGGACAACGTGCTGACAGTACTGGCACATCTCCTCCCCAGCCTTGTCTACCATCATCTTGGCTGTAGGAAAGCCCAAACGAAGCCGATGGATGGCGGTACACTGCGCTCTGGACCAGCTTCCATCATATGGAGGGGGTTCTCCCTGAGTCGCTGCTCGGTACCACTGTTGAGATGGGGTATCACCTAAGACCTCCCCCATAAGTTTCATGGCTCTGGCAGCCACCAGTTTGGTCTGTCGTAGGCTGATTGGGACAGTAATCCCAACATGTGGATAGTCTGTTGCTGCCTTGGCTGCATCATCTGCCGCCTCATTTCCCCGGATGCCAGCATGGCTGGCAATGTCTATGTGTTACCCTGAACTTCTAAGGCTGTCATTATGCTCAGGATCGATGTGATGAGGTGAACATTGTCCTGTGGTTGAGGATGGGAGAGGGCATTGATTGCAGAGGTGGAATCAACATGTATGACAGGTCGGAGTCGATGTCGTAGGGCATGTGACAATGCCTACTGAATCGCCGCCAGCTCAGGTAGAAAGACATTATATATATAGGCGGAGAGTGAGGTGTGACGCACGTGACCTGAGGAATGTCATAAGAACATAAGAACGGAGGAACACTGTAGAAGGCCTACTGGCCCATGCGAGGCAGGTCCTTATCAAAACAACCTCTACCTATGATGAGGACGAGTAGACGATGAAATCATGTGACTCCTGTGTTGTTGGGTTGGTGCTGCTTAAGTATCATGTATACATGATACTTAAACACCACCAACCCCACAACACAGGAGTCACATGATCTCATCGTCTACCCGTCCTCATCCCAACATGACATTCTTCAGGTCACCAGGCGTCACTCACACCTCACTCTCCGCCTATATATAATGTCTTTCTACCTCTGTATGTTAGAAGTGATCAAGGTCCCAGGACCGAAACGTTTTCTAATAAATATGTCATAGTGTTTGCTAACGTGTCTTTCTAAACCAAATGGCTTGTAAATAGTCCAAGTCGGACCGAAACGTCGTCGTAAGTTTCTCTCTCCTATGTGCTGGTTATTTGTGCATTTCTCCAGTCACGGTATTGTGCCTTTTTGTTCTTTCCCAGTAGTATGAATTATACATACATTCTTTTACTCTTCTATCTTGTAAGGTATACTGTAGTGCGGTAGTGTATAGTATATGTTACACCAGCCTGGGGTTACCTTCCACCTGTACTGGTAACTTAAATGCACCTTGGTGACCACTCTCTTCAGTCTTCTATTCCCAGGTTTCTTAGCATAAGCACGTGTTTCATCTAAGGTAACCCTATTGCAATCCTGCAATAACCAACAATTGCAGTCCTATAAATACAAGCTATTACAATTGTAATAGATCAGTTGTTTCTCAACGTTGCTTGATAGTTTCAATCATCCTCTTGATTTAGATTTTCTTTAAATCTTCTGCAAAGTTCCTTCAAACCCGTAGTCAGTGTTTCTGCTCCCGTCAAGTCGTCACCTCTCTCGTTCCTGCTATATTAACACGCGATGATATGACAACATGGCCTGGCGGTGGTGTGAAGATGTAACAGAAGGTTTCTTGGTTGTGGTCCACAGGCAAAAGAACAGTGTTCACGCAGCTCTGGAGACGTCAACTTACCGATAGGACGTCTCACATCCACTACCTTTTGCCATATTTCTCCGCTGGATAGCACGGCTTCAAGATCCACCCAGCCTGTCAGTCATGACACCAACGCGGCTGCAGTTTCAATGGGACGGTGTTGGTGGTAGGATGGTGCGCAGCGCTCAACGCAAAACCTCATTCAGTCTTCAACCGAAAACTTTACTCGCTGTTCACCAGGAGGTTTTCCTCACTGCTAAACAGAGAACCTTACCAACTGTTTATCAGAAGGACTCCCTTACTGTTAAACAGAAGAGCTCCCTCACTGGTGAACATGAACAGTCCCGCGCAGCTCAACACAAGACCCTACACTACACACAAAAGGCCTCCGCTAAGCAGATCTTTCTTCCCGCACAACAAAAAGGCTTCATCTCTAGTCTCTCAAGCCTTGGTGAGTTACTAGGGTCTAAGCTCTAGCTATCGTATCCCGCCTTTGCTCTTAGATTTAATGGTGTGGATTACTCCCTCTCCCCCTGATCTTCTGAATCCATTTACTGAGTCAGCATCCATTATATTCCTTCCCTTTGCATTTTATTTCTACAAGTACACGTACAAAGTATACAGATCATAGCTGACATCAATGACATACTACTATACAGAAAGTCCCTTGTTATGCAGAGCATTTCGGCCAAATTAGGTCAATTTTGTCCGCAGGATGCGACTCACACCAGTTGACTAACACCCAGGTACCTAATTTACTGATAGGTGAACATGGACAGCAGGTGTCTTGAGGAAACACACCCTAATGTTTCCACCCGTACAGGGGATCGAACCACGGACCTCAGTGTGTGAGCTGAGTGCGTTAGCAATCGCGTTACGGGACAACATACCGAGTTTGTCGTTAACGTGGTTGAGTTCCGATGTAAACATGCGGTGGTACACACAGATGAGTTAACTGAACACAGCTGTGTTAACCCAGCAGGGACCTCACTCACCCACAACATCAACAGCAAAATATACTCCACAAAAGACTGTAACTCCCGTAAATTACTTAAAGTGGTTTAACTAGGAATGTGCGATTGCTTCCTTGAATAATATATGGATGGTATGTGAATGTGTAGCATTCAGTTTCTTCATTAAAGATACCCAAGTGTTGCACATGTGTCTAATTTATCAACTTGTCGGTTCTCTGAACCATTCATCTACTTCCCTGAAGGTAAATGGTATGTATGGTAGTACCGACAAGATGTGGAAAAAGACATGTACAGGCTGCAAAAGGTTAGTAGTAGTAGTGATGGTAATAGTATTAGTAGTGATGGTAGTAGTAGTAGTAGTGGTGATGATAGTGGTAGTAGTGGTGATAGTAGTAGTAGTAGTAGTAGTAGTAGTAGTGATAGTAGTAGCATCGATGTGAAAATTTAGATATCCGCGGATGCGGATGTGTATGATGATATCTTACTTATTTTGCGGATGCATATGCGGATATCTGCTTACAGTAAAATAGGGATGCGGATGTCACGTCTTGACATCCGCATCCTCGCGGATGCGAATGCAGATTTTGCAGGACAGTCATAAAACAGTCAGTCAAATACTAAGAAAGAGGAGCACTGCTAGAAAACTAGAGGCCCACAAAGGGTAGGGAAATAAATAATAATAAAGAACAAATACCCAACGCAGCAGCCCATAATCAATCATGTGTATAAGTGGAAGATGGCTATTAACAAAGGGGATATAAATAAGGTCATGGGGATACCTCACCAAGAGAGAACCCGCAGTAATGGATTCAAATTAGACAAGTTTAGATTTAGAAAGAATATAGGAAAGTATTGGTTTGGAAATAGGGAAGTTGATGAATGCAATAGTCTGCCTAGCAGGGTTACTGAGGCTAAAACCTTGGGTATACCTGGAGAGAGTTCCGGGGGTCAACGCCCCAGCGGCCCGGTCTGTGACCAGGCCTCGTGGTGAATCAGGGCCTTATCAACCAGGCTGTTACTGCTGGCCGCACGCAATCCAACGTACGAACCACAGCCCGACTGGTCAGGTACTGACTTTAGTTGTCTGTCCAGTGCCTGCTTGAAGACTGCCAGGGGTCTATTGGTAATCCTCCTTATGTATGCTGGGAGGTAGTTGAACAGTCTTGGGCCCCTGACATTTATTGTGTTGTCTCTTATCGTGCTAGTGGTACCCCTGTTTTTCATTGGGGGGATGTTGCATCATCTGCCGAGTCTTTTGCTTTCGTAGGGAGTGATTTTCGTGTGCAAGTTTGGTACTAGTCCCTCTAGGATTTTCCAGGTGTATATAATCATGTATCTCTCCCGCCTGCGTTCCAGGGAATACAGGTTTAGGAACCTCAAGCGCTCCCTGTAATTGAGGTGTTTTATCTCCGTTATGCGCGCCGTGAAGGTTCTCTGTACATTTTCTAGGTCAGCAATTTCACCTGCCTTGAAAGGTGCTGTTAGTGTGCAGCAATATTCCAGCCTAGATAGAACAAGGGATCTGAAGAGTGTCATCATGGGCTTGGCATCCCTAGTTTCGAATGTTCTCATTATCCATCCTGTCATTTTTCTAGCAGATGCGATTGATATATGGTCCTTGAAGGTGAGATCCTCCGACATGATCACTCCCAGGTCTTTGACGTTGGTGTTATGCTCTATTTTGTGGCCAGAATTTGTTTTGTACTCTGATGAAGATTTAATTTCCTCGTGTTTACCATATCTGAGTAATTGAAATTTCTCATCGTTGAACTTCATATTGCTTTCTTCAGCCCATTTAAAGATTTGGTTGATGTCCACCTGGAGCCTTGCATGGAGGACACTGTCATGCAAATTCGGGTGTCATCTGCAAAGGAAGACACGGCGCTGTCTACCTGGAGGGTATTCCGGGGATCAACGCCCCGCGGCCCGGTCCATGACCAAGCCTCCCGGTAGATCAGGGCCTGATCAGCGAGGCTGTTACTGCTGGCCGCACGCAATCCAACGTACGCACCACAGCCCGGCTGATCCGGCACCGTCTTTAGGTATCTGTCCAGCTCCTTCTTGAAGACAACCAGGGGTCTACCTCAATTTTGGGAGCCCAGCTTCGTCCCACCGACACTGACTTAGGGAATCCGACGGTGGCTCATCTGTGTGGGTTTACACACGTCGTACATTATGACGATGACTTTCGTGGGCTCATAAGTCGTACCTTGACGGTTACACTAGGACACATTGCTACTCCTAACTGTGGACACGAGCGAGGAGGAGGATATGTCGTTATCACAGGCAACAGGTTGTCTGGTTCGTTGACTCCATGGTACACTAGTGTGGCCGCAGTCATCTCTGGGTCCTCTTCGGGAGGGGATATCAGTGCTAGTTGCCTGCGGAGTGTCTCTGTAACTTCGCACTCCAAAAGACAGTGTGTTAGGGGACGCTGGACAACGTGCTGACAGTACTGACACATCTCCTCAGCCTTGTCTACCATCAGCTTGGCTGTGGGAAAGCCCAAACGAAGCCGATGGATGGCGGTACACTTCGCTATGGACCAGCTTCTATCATATGGAGGGGGTTCTCCCTGAGTCGCTGCTCGGTGCCACTGTTGAGAAGGGGTATCACCTAAGACCTTCCCCATAAGTTTCATTGCTCTGGCAGCCACCAGTTTGGTCTGTCGTAGGCTGATTGGGACAGTAATCCCAACATGTGGATAGTCTGTTGCTGCCTTGGCTGCATCATCTGCCGCCTCATTTCCCCGGATGCCAGCATGGCTGGGGATCCAGTTCAATGTCGATCTGTTACCCTGAACTTCTAAGGCTGTTATTATGCTCAGGATCGATGTGATGAGGTGAACATTGTCCTGTGGTTGAGGATGGGAGAGGGCACTGATTGCAGAGGTGGAATCAACATGTATGACAGGTCGGAGTCGATGTCGTAGGGCATGTGACAATGCCTACTGAATCGCCACCAGCTCAGCTTGAAGGATCGTACAGTGGTCAGGGAGTCGCCAGCCTTGTGTGTGACCATTGTGGTACAGTCCAGCTGCTGCTCTCTTCCTGTCAGGGTCGACAGAACCATCTGTGAATATAAACAGTACATGAACGAACGAACAAGTTCAGGTAAGATCCCAAATGGGATGAGCGGGGAAGACGGGACAGACGAAGAGTAGCTCTGGAGAGGAGTGTTCTTAGTTGTAGAAATAGAGCCAGGGCTTAACCCAGCAGCTAAAGCGATCGTGGGACACATATTGAGAACAGAAATTCAGGCTCTTTTGTTGGGACTCCGGTGGGGTGAGCGGGGAGGACGGGACAGGCGAAGATTAGCACTAGAGAGGAGTGTAGAATTGAGCCATGTCTTAACCCAAAAGCTAAGGCGAACGTGGGTGAGAGAATGGTACCTGTCAGAGAAGGTACCTGTCAGAGAATCCAAGGTTATTTGTAAATAGGGTTAGGAGCAGGATCATACAAGGAGTAGAAAAGGTTGTGTTGGTTTGTGGGTCTGCGAATGTCTTCGTCAAGGAGGGAGGTCCAGTAGTGATTATCAAATGGTATACAATACCGACAGTTGGTAGGTAAGACACATAGGCAACATTTAGGCAACTTTATTCCGAAACGTTTCTCCTACACAGTAGGCTTCTTCGGAATAAAGTTGCTTAAATGTTGCCTATGTGTCTTACCTACCAACCTGTCGGTATTGTATACTATTTTGATATTCACTCTGTCAGACACTGCAACACAATGGCATCTTGGTACAGTAGAGAAAACACCTTGGACAACTTTTTCAAGTGAGAATTGTTTGATCTGAGAGGGACGTAACCTCTCAGTGGCTACATTCTCACTTCTACTACTGTGCACCTCTCCTTCGGACAGTATTTAAGTCTCAACACTGTCGCTTGATCTTAAGTGAAGAGGGGTAGGGGAGGAGGAGAGCTGGTGGGAGTAGGAAATGGGGGGGTGGGAGAGAAGAAGGAGGGAGAGGTTGTAGAGTACCTTACAAGAGACTCTTAAGAAAAGTGGCAGCTCATGGTATAGGAGGTAAAGTTCTAGCATGGATTGAGGCATGGCTTACCAATAGAAAGCAGAGAGTTACCATTAATGGTGTGAAATCTGAATGGGGATTAGTCACTAGTGGCATTCCACAAGGATCAGTTTTAGGCCCTCTCTTGTTCATTAATGACCTTGATGAAGGAATTACGAGTGACATGAGTAAATTTGCTGATAATTCATTCTGAGGAGGATAGCAATGAACTCCAGGAGGATTTGGACAAATTAATGTCTTGATCTGAAAAATGGCAGATGAAGTCCAATGTGGATAAGTGTAAGGTACTAGTTCTTGATAATGAAAATAACCCTCGAAGCTATAAACTAGGTGAAGTAGAGCTTGATCATACAGGATGGATATAGACTCATTAGAGAACATACAGAAAAGAATGACTAAAATGATTTACTGTGTAAGGAATCTCCCGTATGAAGATAGACTTAAA